GTTGTTAGCCTTATTGAGAGTCCAGCTTCAGTGATCAGAATGTCAGTCCACAAAGGATAATCATATCAGGTAATACACAACCACCCACTACATATGGTTAATTTGGGATGGGATATTAAAGAGTTGTATGTAAGAGGTTATTTAAGAGTAGACAATGGCAGTCATCTATTATCTGTGTAGTTGGCTTTGACATTATAGGAAAGGGCAAATTCACATACACAAAATCTACCCCCTCACTTTATCCCTGATTTAAGTAACTAAGTGGCCTCTATCATGACTAGAGTATATTTTGCTAAAAAATGTCGGTTGAAAGAATTTTTTTTTTAATCATTTCACACCAAGCAAGGCAATAATGCCACTAGGATTAGTGGATTGAAAGAGAGTGAGAAGACTTTCGGGAGAAGAAAAGATAAAAGAACATGGTTCAGAAAGACAGAAGATGGTGATTGGCATTGCATTTAAATTTTTGAAGACCATAGGTGGCAGAGAAGCTTAAAATCAGAAAGTAGTTCTATTCGCAAGAAAAGAAACCGGAATAGATTACAGAATGTAATGGCTTAGTTACCAATCTAGTAGCATGCTTAAATTCATGCAGTTGAGGCACCAAGGTAAACAAATGAAGAGAATGTTAATTTCTATTAAAAATAACATGAATAAGAAAGGAGAGTTTGAGTAGAGTTATTTATTCAGTTGGCCAGAATGTTATTGGATAGAATTGAAAACAGTTAAAACATTTTATTCAAAAAGATTAGACTTTACTGTATTATTACAGATGTCATGAGTATTAAAAAAAAGTCAACATTGGCATACTTTTTGTTTATGGATTTTGACACTGAAAATGGAAGAAAAACTACATTTTCAGATTATTTTGTTTTTACAAACGTGAAAATATAACTGAAACAGTTTTTTTTGCAATTTATAAAAATAACTTACTGTGAATGAGAGATATGCAAAAGGTGTAATGGCTGATTGCTTGCTTACTCAACTTTCCATGCTGAGTTAAAATTTTAATTGCTACTGTCTTATTCACTTTATGCTAATGCTTAAAAAGACAAAGAATCGAGAGAGAAAAGAGAGAGAGGAAAAAAGAGAGAGAGAGAGAAAAGAGAGAGAGGAGAAAAGAGAGAGAGAGAAAAGAGAGAGGAGAGAGAGAGAGAGAAGAGAGGAGAGAGAGAGAGAGAAGAGAAAGAGAGAGAGAGAGAGAAAAGAGAGAGAAGTTAGATAACAAGGCATACTAGGCCTCTTTGAAGAGACTGGCAAAAATATAGAAAGAAAACTGAAAGAAAACTAGTCTAAATAGCGATGTGTTATGTCAAGCTATCACCACTACTATCACAGTTTCAGTACATGAGAAAAGAGAAAGAGATTGGTTATAAAATTTTAAATGACAGGACTGGGAGATAAAGAAAAGAGATTCAGAGAACAATGTTCTATAGTTTGAGATAAATCAGTTGATAGCAAACAAAATCAAGATATTACTTGAGAAAAACCAACATCATTTCATTACACTGACTTAGTTATATTAGAATGCTTGATGAAGAAAACACTGAATCCAGTTTAAATAAATAGTAAAAGAGATGAAAAAGAGATACTTTAGAAAGAGATATTGAATGCATAAGAAAAAAAAGAGATCAAAAAGAAAAAACAAACTATACTAAAGTTTAGTTGAGAAAAAATAAAAGAGAGAGTTTATGGTGGCACTGAAGAGAGAGAAAGAAAAAGAAAGAAAGACTGCTTGTAATTAGATCAAAGAAGAGAGAGAGAAAAAATGTCAAAGAGAGAGAGAGAGAAAGAAAAAGAGAGAGAGAGAAAGAAAAAGAGAGAAAGAGAGAGAAAGAGAGAGAGAGAGAGAGAGAGAGAGAGAGAGAGAGAAAGAGAGAAAGAGAGAAAGAGAGAAAGAGAGAGAGAGAGAGAAAGAGAGAAGAGAGAGAAAGAGAAAGAAAGAGAGAGAGAAAGAGAGAAAGAAAGAGAGAGAGAGAGAAAGAAAGAGAGAGAGAAAGAAAGAGAGAGAGAAAGAAAGAGAAAGAGAAGAGAGAGAGAAAGAAAGAGAGAGAGAAAGATAGAGAGAAGGTCTTGTCTCAATGTACATACAAAACAGTGTTAAGATCTAGAAAGTTCATAAGTTTAACACTTATACATAACATGGTGTTGAAAAGTAATCAGCCCAACCAAAAGCCCTTAAAAAGCTTTGGTCAGATTTTAGGAAGATGGAAACTTTTCAGCATTTCCTCATAAATGACATTTTACTGGTGTAACATGGATATGTGTATGTATCTCGGCCACTTTTTTTTTTTTTTAAATCAACGCACCACAAGCAATGCAATAAAGCCACTAAGACGCAGGGAATTACAGAATATGAAAGAATATAAATGGAGAAACATTAAGAAGAGAGAATAATAAGACAATATAACGATTGACATTGCATTTAAATTTTTGAAGATCAAACTCAACTAGAAAACTGGAAGTGTGAAAAAAGAAACTTAACATAGAACTTATTTTGGACATATTTAATAAAGACCTTTCAATTCACTGTGTAAATAAAATACATTTTTTTTTTTTTTTACAAATAATAATATAAACAAGAACATTTTAAACTAGCTTATCACACAAGTATAATTTTAGAATATATATATATATATATAAAAAAACCAAAAAAATCTTATAATTTATCAAATACATTAGTCATACATAGAAATAAGTTTAACCACAACTTTGATCAAAAGAATACCACATATTAAAGAGAGAAAGTAACTTAGATAGAAAAATCTTGAGAGCACTGCAATCAAATATTAGCAAAATGTAAATCTGGGCTCAGGATTTTTTCAAATATCTCCTTTCCTAAAAGATATATTCCTTTCTTAAGCCGACATATGACCATTAAAAGAAAATAGTAAATAGTAATTGCATTATAAAAGAAAAAGAAAATCAATATTTACTCACTTTTATTTATTAGGCATTAAATTACATCATTAAGCATCCTCCATAGTTTACCTTTACTTTATTCAGTCTCTTTACAGGTATATTTTTTATTTATATCTGAATTTTTACACGCATGAAGTGTGTGCACAGAATGGAAGTGTAGGTGATCTAACAGTTAATGGCACAAAAACAAACTAGCAAATGGTGTTCAAATCTTGATCAGAGCAGTAATATATATATATATATATATATAATTTTACCCAGAGTAATGCAATAAAGCTACTAAGACACAAAGAGTAGCGTGTTCATGCTATATTAATGTCTTTGTAAGAAACATGAATCTTTTTCTTCCTCTAGCTATGGATAAATAGTGGGGTATTTCAATCCCTTTAGCCCTGTAAGACAATCCAACCTGTAAGAACCCTCTTGCGATTGAGACCACCATTTAGTGTGGTTGCAGTCTTAGGCTCCATAAACTAAAAGAATGAACAAGCATTAACTCCAGTCTTTGCATAAAAAAAAAAATTTTTTTCTCAAAGTCTACATCATAGTACTTTATATATAAGAGGAAAAGAGAATTAAAATTTAAAAAAAAAAAAAAAATGAGTGAAAATAAAAATGTCAGACCTCTTTAGCTGTGTTGATTCTGGACCCAAAACAGCACTTATGGCTATAAAATTTGGAATGAATTTTTTTTTTTTTAAACTTTTATACTAAGTAAAAAAAAAAAAAAAAAAAAAAAAACAACAAAACAAACAGATGACATTTAATAGAGTTCAGAGTTTTAAAACAATATTTGTTCTAAAACAAAGTGTCAAATGACAATAGTAATCAGTTTTTTTTTTATTGTTTTTTTTTTCTCTTTCTTCATTGTTTCACAAATAACTTCAAGGAGCAAACATTTTATGACTGCTATCAGGTTATTTGTGTTTTTATATTTCAATTTAGTGTATTTCCTCATTATATGAATCATTATTTTTCTTTTTGTGTGTGTGTGTGTGTGTGTGTGTGTGTGTGTGTGTGTGTGTGTGGAGACTTCCAAAAAATTACTGTCATATACACTGCAGACAGTTGTAGGATAGAGATAACTAAACTACAGAATTATATGAGATGTAACAATTCCCAGAATTACAGTGTGTCACCGAGAGTTAATTAGTCAGGCAAACAAACATTTGTACCTGAGCATGTTATAACTTCCACTTTGATGAGAGACAGACCAGGAATCATTTGTTGCTAAGCAGTAGAGGAAATAGTACATATTCATGTTATATTGTTAGCAGAGATTGAGTGAAAAGAATCTGGAGCAACTAATTAACATTAAGTTTTGTATAAAGATTGATAAAAGATGTAGTGAAATGTTAGTTCCCTATTAAAAATGGCTATTGGTAAAAATGCTCTGAAGAAATTCAGTATTTTGGAGTAGAATGGCCAGTTCAAGGAAGAGTGAGATGTGCATGATGATACAAGTGGGCAACCAAAAAGACAAAGAACAGATGTAAATATGGATAGGGTGCAAACACTGGCGCACTCTGAAGATTATGTGTACAATTGATAGCAAAAGAATTGAATAGATTGTAACAGAAGATTAAAAAAGATTTTCTCCAACACGATTCCTTGAATCCTGACTGAAACACAGAAATAATATTGGTTTCAAGTGGCATCTGATTTTTTTTTAATAATGCAGACAGATATTATTGATAGGGTCACTTCCAGTGATGAAATGTAGTGTTTTCAATGTAATCTAGAAACAAAATACCAGAGCATGCAGTAGAAAAAACAAAAATTCCCCTCAGCTGAAAACTGATTTATTTTTTTTTATGCTTTACCAACATTTTGCAGGTTATTTAAAACCAGAAAATATATATTTTTTTTAGATTGTAAAAATGTTTTTTTGGAGATAATGATTTACTGTTACAAGTCCTACTAATTAGTCCATAGCTATGGGGGGAAGGTAGATTCATAATTTTTCCAAGGGTATTTATATGTAAGTGAATATAAACCTGACTGAAATTGGAACTTTGCTCTCCAATGTCCAATTCTGAATGGTTATCCATTATACAACCCATAAATCCAAGCTTATTGCACCTGGTATTCCCAAGAGGTCACCATCTAGGTACTGACTAGGCTCAATGTTGTTTAACTTCTATGATTGTATGAGAACTGGTGTTTCAATGTGTTATAGTTGAAAACAACACACATGGCTAACCTGCAGTTCAAGACAATTCTCATGATGTTTCTTTGATCATAAAGGAACAGTTTACTACAAATTCTTAGCACATCGATAACATGTCAATCAACATGTTTATTGGGAAGTACTGAAAGGGTTGAAGGAAAATCCCAAACCCTTATCTAACAAGTGGATTCTCCCCCATGACAATTCTGTATATGATACAAATATGTTTAAAAATTCCTAGCTAAGATATTCATTACAGAAATAGGCCGTCCATTTCATTGACCAGACTTTGCTATGATCTTTGACTATTTCCAGAATTGAAAAATGCTCGGAAAGGACAAAGATTCACCAACACCCAACCATCCGTGATAATACTACTGAAAAGAATTCTGAAAAACAAGTCATAAGAATATTCCATCAATAGACAAATTATCTCATAGCTTCACAAGGAAAATACTTTGAAGGTGACAGTAGCCAATAATGACCAGGTAAGCAAATTTGATTTCACAGGGTCATTCTCAAAATTAAAGTCACATCTTGCATATATTTTTATAACCCAAACTTTTTCTGCAAAATTTAACAAAAACCTCATGGTGATTATATAGTGTTTCCAGTGGCACCGGTGGTTCAAGGAAAGGTGAGAAGATGTACACTAACAAGTGGGCAGCTAAAGACTCAAATAGATTCAAATATGAACAGAGTGCTAACCTTGATGGGCTCAGATCAAAAATTAAGTGTATGACTGATAGCAGAACTGAATTATGAATATGGAAACAGTGCAGCAGTGTCTAACAGAGGATTTGGTAATGAGAAAACGGATACATTTCGGACATTTCTAGGATTTCCATAATGAAAAAATGTCCTGAAACCCAACCATACATGACAATATTACTAAAAATTGAAAAAAAAAAAAACATGAGTTCCAAGAATGTTTCCAGCAATGGACAAATCATATAAAGTGTATAAATTCACAAAAGGAGTACTTTGAAGGTGATAGTAACCAATAGTGACCAGGTAAGAAAACTTTACTTTGCTTTTACGTTAGTTTCATGGCTTAACTGTGACAGGAATTTTTTCCATAGTTAATCAGCTCTACCATAGCAATAGCAATTTCTCAGTTGATTTTTTCCTATTTTTTGATCATTTCATAATGTCAATTATATTTTTTCACTTTTTTATTTTTTTTTTTATAACAATCTCAGTTCCCACCTTGTAAATTTAGACCAATTCTTTTGCAAAAATTTCTAACCTGCATGACACAAATACCATTTTATGACCACTATGCCAACATTTATACACAAACTGACAGTGTAGTGATAGGTTCAGCCCTTGTACTGACTATCTAATTTCTACAAGTGTCATGTGGAAAACAATGTCTTCAATAATTCCACTGAGCACCCTATGTATTTTATATTGACAACATTCATGTTAGCAAACAGCTTAGAAATCTTCAAGAATTACTGTCCTACACTACTTACAAACTCAACATTAACAATAAAATCCCTTTCCTTGACATATTAGTTGATGCCAATAGCCATAATTTCATCAACTCTATTTACAAAAAAAAAAAAAAATAAAATATAAAAAAATAAAAAATAAAAACAAATTCCACTAGCAAAAACTCTTGTTTACTTAACCACAAAAGTAATGGATTGATTCATTCATTTTCTACAGCTTATCAAGTCTTTGCAGTTTATTTAAAGCCAGAAAGTATTTTTAGATTCTAAAAAAATTTTCTGGAGATAATAATGGTTTAGTGATACAAGTTTTACTTAATAACCTATAGCTGAGGGGAGAAAAATGGATTCATATCTTTCAAAAGGTATTTTGTGCATAATTGAATATAACAAGCCCAACAAGAATTGTAACTCTGCTCTTCAATTATCAATTCCAAGCCATTATACATTACATCCAAGTTTACAGTGCCTGATGTTCTCAACTGGTCAATCATCTTATTGATCAGGCTCGATGATTGTAACTAAAAACTAACTTGGATTTTGTAGAAATTGTTCAAATGTTCTATATGTCTGAGGTAACTTTTAGGCATACAGAACATTCAAACAATTTCTACATAATTTATATCCAGAAAAGAATAAAATTATAAGAACACAAGAAACATCAAATAAAAAAAAACTTAACTGCAGTACCTTGTCAGTTGTTTTCAATGAAACTTGTTTAAAAGAGAGATTGCTACCCAAATTATATATATATATATATATATATATATATATATATATATATATATATATTAAAAAAAAAGAAAAAAGGCAACTATTTATATTATTTAATTCTAAATTAAAATATATTTCTCACTAATATGCAATACAAAATGTTAAGAAAAAAAACTAAGAAAAAGAAAAAAAAAAAACTAAGAAAAAGAAAAAAAAACAAAAAAAAAAAACTAAAAGATAACTAGGGGTTATTTAAGTTGTTTAAAAACGTCATACATTCACTGTCATTAATCAAAATAGTGACACATAACGACAGCACTCAACCATTTTCCAGAAAGAGATCATCATAAAGATATAAAAAATATTCTTTGAAGATTTTTTTTTTAAAGACAAAAAAAAAAAAAAAATAAGTTTATCTCTCAGACATATGAATCAGATATTGATTAATAACTTTACAATAACTATTAGCAAAGAACATGTATTTTTGTTTCAGATGAAGTATAATTTATGTCCAGACAACAAACATATCCTTTCAGTCCTGTTTCCTCAATATTGATTAGTTGGAAAAATCAATGCATTTTTTTCATATGTTGACAATGGGAATGTTAATAACAGAATTTACAAGGTGTGGCTACTACTGATTACATTGTAAAGAGCATTTCAGACACATTGAACAGATGTGTCTAAGTAAAACCAAAAATAAGAAAAAACATTTATTCTCCCTTAATGTTTATAAAGTTCATTTTTATGACAAGAATATCTGATTTTTAGGGTACATTCTCATCTTGTTTGCACAGAACATGTAATGGATAGCAGCATGCCACATACACAAGGATGAATCATCCCCATTCCTTTCGTATTACTAGAGTAAGAACTAAGTTCCATTCGGACAGCTTCTTCCCAAGAACTGGTGCTTTGTTTTCCCAATCACTACAATCTTGACCTCTTCATGCCACCTTGGGTTAACTGTTATCTTTCCTGTATAGATCCATGAATTTGTCTTCTTGCTCTTTCTTATGCTCATACAATACCACACAGTAACACTACCTTGAGTGGCTTTTTGGCCCTGTATTGAGTAAACATTAGTATAAATAAAAAAGAAGCTCTGAATAAGAAATTGGATTTTTGCATTCCAGTAGAGTTTCGTTCTATTCACTTTCACACAAATACCTTCAGGAAAGTTATGAATCCACAAATCCCCCAACTTCAGTGGCAACCAGTCTAGAAGGACATCTCAAAATTGTATGTAGTCCTGGCAAAACACATAATATGCAGTTAATGAAAGGATCATAGAGTTTCTGTTCACAATGATACTTTTTCTTTTTTTTCTAGTTTCAATTGTATATCCTTTGAGGGAGTTGGGGAATAAAAAAATGCATCATTCTGATTTTTAACTTAGGTTTTATTTGAGTATTGTTTTTTTTTTTTTATCATAGTTATATCATCTAGCTGACCCAGTCATTGAATAGATCAACAATAGAATGTCACTGCAGTTGCGCAGTCTAGACATTCAGTTACAATATTATTTACAGCATGGTTGAAAGAGCTTTCATTAGAGAGAAGTATAGTCAGTCACTGAATGCATCATGGAACAAACAATATTCGAAGGCTAAGTGTGGTAAATAAACAAACTCTAGTTGGAAAGATTGGTTTATCTAGGATGATTACACAGCTAATAGATGGTGGCTACAATAATCAAGCATTTTGAGAACAAATTCCTTAAATGTGAAAGTGGTGTACAAGAGACATCAACCATTTTTTTAATCATTTCAACCCAAGCAAGGCAATAAAATAACTGGAACACAAGGAAAAAAAAACAATAACAAACTGAGAAAAAAAAAAAAAAAAAAAAAAAAGAGCCCAATATAAAACTGAGAAAAAAAAAGCCCAAGAGAAAAAAAGAAAAGAAAAAAAAAAAAGGCCAATATAAAACTGAGAAAAAAAAAATCCCAAGAAAAAAAAAAAAAGCCAATACGAAAACTGAGACAAAAAAAAAAAAAAAAAAAAAAAACAATAAAAAAAGCTGAGACAAAAAAAGCCAATAAAAAAAGCTGAGACAAAAAAAAAGTCAATTAAAAATTGTCCATCTGTGCCACCGGTTTGGGGTGGGGGCACAATGTTTTTAGAGCCCAGATACCCCCCCCAATGACACCAGGAATAAACATCACTGATGAAGTTTTATTGTACTGCAAGGGTGTTTGGATTATGATATTAAACTAAAGAATTTCAACCAAAACTTTTAAACTTTAAATATTGTGGTTGGGAAACACAAACAAACAATACCATATATTTTAATGACATATCTGAATAAAGTGAATGATTTTTCAGATTCTCAACAACAAAAAGACTAAAAGAATACCCATGTGCTTCAAACTATGAAAGTTGCTCCAAATGTCATGCTTCATTTTATAATGGAAGTAAAGATGTAGAATTACTTTTGGAGCATTCATCACATATCTGTAGCATTATTTATTTCCTGATCGACAATCTTAACATCTTAAAATCTAGCCATTATCTTTTCCTATATATCCTCACAAACTGCACTTCTTACCTAACATCCATTGACCACAATCAGTAACACTACTTGAGTGGTTCTTGGACCTTCTATGAGGTGAAAAAAAAAAAAAAAAAAAAAAAAAATGGAGGAAATGTTAGTAGGTAGATTATGTTACACAAACCTTTCAAGTAAGCTAAGTCCTGTCAAATTCAAGATTTTGGCTTTTTTTTTTTTTTTTTAAATGTCATACATCTTCAGGATGTAGGCAATCAAGCCAACCCAACAGATTTTATCTTTTTTATTATCTGCAAAATGCCATGACTTCTTGGGAA